TTCTGTGCCTCCCCAGAAGCAGGGGGCAGCACTCACTGCCTCAGGGCCCCCAAGGAGAGGGAAGGCTGCGCCCTGGACTCACCAGCCATCACATCATAGTTGAAATGCTCCGCCGCGGGATCTAAGTTCACCACCTGGACAGAACGGCCGAGGGCTTCACAGTGCTGGACCATGGTGGCACAGTAGGTGCTCTGTGGACCGGGAGGCAGGAGGGGACAGAGCTTCAGGCAGACCCAACACCACCAGACAAACCCCCACAGCCCCTGGTCAGTGTCTGCTGAGGCCCAAACTAAGCCTTAATCCCCGGGACTGGGCATCAGGGAACACCATGCAGTGCAGATCCAGCCCTACCTTGGCCACACTGACCTCGGGCCAGCGGCCTCTTCCCGGCCAGTGTCCTTATCCCTTGGAGATGGTCTCCTCACTGCTATCAGGTGCTCTAAGTATGACTGAAAGGGAAGATTTCTCCCCCGCCCTTGATTTTGGGGCCACAGCCAGCGGTATTTAGAGGGGTCTACATCGTTTGGAGATCAAAGCCAGATTGGGTGTGTGCAAGGCCCTGCATGCTCAACCTTTCTGGATTCAATTTCTCTTTGCAAATGAGAATAGGGTCTGGAGCGTAGCACAGCGGCCAGGGAGTTTGCCTTGCACTCAGCTGACCCGGGTTCGATTCCCAGCATCCCCAGCCTCCCCAGCATCCCATATGGTCTCCAGGCCCCGCCAGGAGTGATTCCTTAGTGCAAAGCCAGGAGTATCCCCTGGGTAGTGCCAGGTATGATCCAAAAACAAAGGCTGTGGAACTAAAGGGGCCCTGGTGTGGGGACACGGAGAGTCCAGAGAGCAAGACACTCCCCTCGCACAAGGCTGTCTCTCTTTCAATCCCTGGACCATCCTGGAAGCCTGCCAGGAGTGATCCCTGAGCACAGAGCCAGGAGTCAGCCCTGAGCACCACTGGATGTGATCCCAAAAGCAAAAAAATGCGGGAGCTCATACTCCAAAAATACTGTACCCCGTTTGACAGGATTCAAAGTAGCAGGCAACCAATCTTAGAGGGAAATATATATATATTTTTTACATACACACACACACACACACATATATATATATATATATATATATATATATATATAAACACACAAGGTTCAACCTTTTACAACATGTTAGTGATCCTTATTGAAGGGCTCAATGGCCCCTGGGTAGAATACACACTCTTTCCTCTAAGGATACTTTTTTAATAGGATTTTCAGAGATTTTTTTTTGTTGTTGTTTGTTTTTGGGTAACACCTGCCGATGCACAGGAATTTCCCCTGGCTCTGCACTCAGGAATTATCCCTGGCTAATGGTGCTCAGGGGACCATATGGGATGCTGGGAATCGAACCCAGTTTCACCACGTGCAAGGCAAACGTCCTACCCACTGTGCTATCACTTCAGCGCCACGGCAGTTTTTCATATCAAGCAATACAAGAGAATAGATTCTTTGAGTTCTGCTTTGGGACAGGGATTGGGGTTTGGGATGGAACTATGCGAAATATGGTGGTGAGAAGGTGTAATGGTGGTGGGATTGGAGTCTGAGTATTGAATGTAATCAAATATTGTAAAAAACTTTATAAAATAAAAAAATTGGGGGGTTAGAGCGATATGACAGCTGGCAGGGCATTTGCCTTGCAAGTGGCCGGCAAGGTTCGATTCACAGCATCCCCAATGGTCCTCTGAACACCACCAGGAGTAATTCCTGAGTGCAGAGCCAGGAGGAACCCCTGGGCATCACCGGGTGTGACCCAAAAAGCAAAAGGAAATAATAATAATACTAATAATAATTTTAAAAAATGAGGGTGGTAACGAATAAGTTATTTCGCAATAAACACTCTCTGCTCTTCCCCCAGAGCCCTGGCCGCCCGGCCTCCACAAACTCCCATTTATTTTTCTTAAATTTAATTTCATTTTTAAAATATTTAATTTTTAAAATTTTTCCATTTAAAATTTTTTTTTTAATTTTTTACTATCTTTTTTTTTATTAGTGAAACACCATGAGGTACAGTTGTAGATTTACAATTTTTTGTGCTTGGGTTTCGATTATACAATGATCAGATACCCATCCCTTCACCAGTGCCCATTTTCCACCACCATGGATAATAACGCCCCCACCCCCATGCCCCCATCCCCCCCGCCTCTGTGGCAGGGCAATCCCCTGTGTTTTCTCTCTCCTTTTGGGTGTTGTGGTCTGCAAAAGAGGCATTGAGTGGCAAACATGTTCAGTCCATAGTCTACTTTCGACATGCATCTCCCGTCCTGGGAGGATCCTCCAAACACCCTTTATTCGGTGCTCCCTTCTCTATCAGAACTGCCCTTTCCTCGAGAATACCTGGCTGGCCTCTATCCTCCTGGTGCTGATCTCAGCTATTCTTGGGTATTAATCTCATATTTTGTTACTTTATATCCCCCAGATGAATGCAATCTTTCTATGTCTATCCCTCTCTTTCTGACTCATTTCGCTTAGCATGATACTTTCCATATTGTACCACTTGTATGTAAATTTCATGACTTCATCTTTTCTAACAGCTACATAGTACTCCATTGTGTAGATGTACCAAAGTTTCTTTAACCAGTCATCTGTTCTTGGGCATTCAGGTTTCTTCCAGTTTCTGGCTATTGTAAAGAGTGCTGCAATGAACAAACAAGTGCAGATCTCACTTCGACTATACATTTTTGCCTCTCTGGGATATATTCCCAGGAGTGGTATTGCAGGGTCAAAGTGATCAAAGTAGAGAGAGAGAGTAATGTGATCAAAGTAGAGAGAGAGTAATGTGTAAATCATCTGCCCCACAGGTATAGGGAGGGTGTGGGATGGGGGTATATTGGGGATTTTGGTAGTGGAGAATGGGCACTAGTGAACGTACGGGTGTTTCATTGCATGACTGAGACTTAGACCCGACATAGAACCGAAACTTTGTAACTGCTCTCACGGTGATTCAATAAAGACAATGATAAAAAATGAAAAAAAGAGTGTAAGGAGGAGTTCATGCCCAATTCAATCAGCTAATCAGTGGCCGAATAAATAGCAGTCCACTCACATTTTAAAAAAAAAAGGAAAATAACATTTTAGCAGCACATTCTTTCAAGTGGCTGCTCCCTGCTCTCCCCAGGGCCTTGAGTTCACCACATGAACAGAACTTGTGGTAACAGGGAGAGCAGCAGCAGCCCAGAGGGGCTGCACAGAGAGCAAGCCCTGCTGCAGGGCCACAGCTGACCTGTCCTCCCTGTGACGCGTTCGGTGACATCACCGACCTCTCTTTGTGATGCAACCAGACATTCTGCAGCCTCCCCAACTGCCCCCATACTCATTACTTGGTTCACTGCGGAAACGCATAGACAGCAAACATGTTTTGCTGTTTACCAAGAAATCGTGGTTGTAAAACCCCCAAGTGTAGGACACTGAAAAGATTCAGAAACTGGGTGAGGACCCATTGGAGAACTCCCCGGAATTCTTCACGAAGACCGCCGCTAGTTCAGGTCAGCAGGAACTGGCCCGGGCAGCCCAGCACTGATGACCGTGATCAGTCTTCATCACCTCCCTGAGTGTGATGGCGCAGAAGCTGTGTATGTGGAAGAGTGTGCACACCCGTGTGTGAACGTGTTTATCGGAGAGAGTAAATTTGAGTGTGTACTGGAGATGGTGTGTGTGTGTGAGTATGTGTATTTGTGTATGTACGTGTGTCTGTGTGTGTGTTGTGAGATCATCTTGAGGGCAGCCTCTCCTACCAGGTGAGTCATCAAATCTAGCCCCCAAGGCCAGGTCACTGCTCACTGAGTTGGCACTAGGAGGTGCTCTTGGGCCAAGACTTTTCGAAACTTGATTGTTTCAATCTCATTCCTATGGGAGGCCTTTGTAGATGCAGGTCCACCAGCAGGGAGGAACTCAGAAGGGAGGGGGAAGCAGCGCTTCTGGAGCTGAGCCTTTGTGGTTCTCCCTCCACAGAGCAGCCCACAGGAGAGAGAGACGCTCCCTCCGCAGAGCAGCCCACAGGATAGAAAGAAGATCTTCTACATATCCTCTGGGTCCAGTTCCTCTGAAGAAAGTCTGGAATCAGCCAGCACCAAGCAGAGCCAGACACCATCTAAGCAGAAAGTTGAGATTGGCCAAGGATTGTCAACTCCCCAAAGAGCACCGCGTTCAGTGCCTTGGCCTTACACATATGGCAGAGAACGAGACTCAGAGCACCAGAAGAAAACGGGTAAGAACCAAGGGGTGTGTGTATATGCACAAGTAAATGGGGAATGCGAAAAGGCCCACCAAGAGGTGTCCTGGGCGCTGGTGTCGGAAAGGAGAGTCATAGGCCGGAGAGCCCATTCTGGGGAGGCCTCCACAGGAAACCCCCGTGAGGTGGGCCCATGGTCTCCCCTTCCTGCTGGGCTCCCTGTTGGGGTCAGCTTTGGAGAATCCATGGAAGGAGCCCTCTGGGTGACCTTTTCTCTTATTGATTCTTTAGCTCCAGCTCTGAAAGCATACTTGGCTCCGTGTCGAAGGACAGCGCCGTCAATGATCTCTCCAGTACCAACTGCACAGCCACCCGCTGTGGCAACATTGGACCAGTTCCCAGAGGACCTAGCATGGTTACAACTGGAAGAAGCCCCCGGTCTCACAGCAGTGTCTCTGTCTGGAGACCCTCCCACCAATGAGTATCTTGCCTCGGTATATTTTATGATTTTTATTCTTTGTTTTTACTTTATCTGTTATATTTTCATTTAAATAAATTGTGATTGCTACTCTTCACAAGCATCCAGTTGCATTTTTTTTCTTTTTCTTTTTTTGGTTTTTGGGTCACACCCAGAGAGCACAGGTGTTACTCCTGCCTCTTCACTCAGGAATTACTCCTGGCGGCGCTTGGTGGACCATATGGGATGTTGGTAATCGAACCCAGGTCTGTTGCGTGCAAGGCAAACACCCTACCTACTGTGCTATCACTCCAGCCCCGCATCCAGTTGCATCGTAACAAACTTCTCATTTGTTCTGGCATTCTTGAAAATATTCATCTAACATAGAAGATGATTCTTCTTCATGTTCCTGATATAAATAAAACACAAAATAGAAAATACATTGATTTCTCCGCAGACCCAGTATGTATTGACCTACTGTTCAGGCAATGCTCTATAATACCCAGAGGTAGTGCTGATAGATATTCATGAACAAAATTGGGGCGAACGAGACAGCACAGGGGGTGGGGCACCACCCTGAACACGGGGCACAAAGCACCATCAGGTACTGGAGCATAAAAGTCAGCAAATGCGCAACCAGGGTTTTGGTTACTCTTTGTTTTTTTTGGTTTTCAGTTCTTGAGCCACACCAGAGATCAGCCAGAACGGGCCAGGTTCTTGCTGCCCCTGAGACTTTAACTTAAGGAGCTGCTTAGACCAAACAGGAGGGCAGAGGTGTTCAGTGCAATCCTGGCTCTGTGCTCAGGGACCAGACATGAAATGGGGAACTGACCCAGCGTCAGACCAGGGGAGGCAGAGAATGGTCTTTCCCTCTGCGCCGTTCTTGGCCCTGGCAAATCTAAAAGGTAAAAGGTAAAGGCCCTCCTGTTGATGGTCGATTTGCTCGAGCGGGCCCAGTAACGTCTCCATTGGAGACTTTGTTGTTACTGTGTCTGGCATATCCAATACTCTCGGTAGCTTGCCGGGCTCTCCGAGAGGGGCGGAGGAATCGAACTCTGGTCGGCTATGTTGGCCGCTTGTAAGGCGAACGCCCTACCCGCTGTGCTATCGCTCCAGCCCTCAGCAAATCTAAATCGTCAGAAATTACCTTGGGTTCTTTGAATTCCAAGTCTTCTCCGTACTGAATGGCAAAATCAATATGCTGTAATACAATGTTCATGCTTTCTTCTCTGACGGATCGTAAGGCAAAAATCGGACCATGCTGTAGTCATCATTGTACAAATTAGAGATTTCAGAAAGGTCATTCAACTGACACTTGAGCGTGAACATTGGTAGTCTAATTAATACCATCTATGCCTGTGCAGGGAGGAGCAGACAGAACAACAGCAAATCAGCATTAATTTTTTTATGACCTCTGACCTATTGGAACACTAGTAACACTACAACATTACTTAACTAAAGACTTATTTTTTTTTTATTTTGGGGTTATACCTGGTGATGCACAGGGTTTACTCCTGGTTCATGTACTCAGGAATAACTCCTGGTGGTTCTCAGGGGACTTATGGGATGCTAGGAATCAAACCCGGCTCGGACCCATGCAACGCAAACGCCCTACCTTCTGTGCTATAGCTCCTGCCCCGACCAGAAACTGAGACTTCTTTTAAAGTAATTTATCTGCATTCAAGCACCACTGAAAATTTCAAAAGTGTACAGGCAATTCTGATGTGCCAAGTGGCAGGAAAAAAAGACATTGCAGAATTTCTCTGCTGTGGGACGAGAGAGCTAGTACACCGAGGTGGGCGCTTGCCTTGCACGTAGGCAAGGGATGCACCCGGGTTCGATCCCCCACATCCCGTATGCTCCCTGAGCCCACCAGGAATGATTTCTGGAGGCACAGCCAAGGATAAACTCTGACCACTGCTCAGTGTGGCCTCCTGCCCTCTCTGCTACAACCAATGACAACTTTTTTCAGAGGTGAGGGGAGGCCACATCCAGACAACGCTGGTGGCGACCATGTGGTGCCAGACATGAACCCTGGGTGCCTTGTGTGCAACGTCTGTGGTGCTGCCCACTGAGCTCTCTCCCTACTTCTATACTAACTTCGAAGCAGACAGCCGACCGCTCCCAACATGCTGCTCCCCTAAAAAGACATGTGTGGCAGGGGATTGCCCAGCCACAGAGGCGGGGGGGATGGGGGCATGGGGATGGGGGGATATTATCCATGGTGGTGGAAAATGGGCACTGGTGGAGGGATGGGTATCTGATCATTGTATAATTGAAACCAAAGCACAAAAAATTGTAAATCTACAACTGTAAAAAAAAAATAAAATAAAATAAAGGGGAAAAAAAAAAAAGACATGTGCTGGTCTGTGCCGTCCATATGGTGGCCAGTGCCTGGGGTGTATAAGCATGTGATAAGACGATTAAGAAAAATATGGGTCTAGGGGGGTTCGCGGGAGGGGATGAAGAGCTACGACAGGGGTTACAAATGGCCTACACCCCGCACACCTCAGTTTGAACACCCAGCACCACATATGGTCCACCAGGCACAAGGGAGAAACAGCCTCTGAGCACCACCGGGTGTGGCCCCCAAACTTTAAAAACAACCCACAAACACCCCAAACACTTGCAAAACTCATCAGCCCAGGGATTAGCACAGCGCTTGATTCTTGGCACCAGATGGCACCCTAAGCATTGCTGGGTACAGCCAGGAAGGAACCAAAACTGCTGGTACGGCCCTCTGGGCCCTAGCAATGACCACTACTAGCCTGGTGGGCCAATAATCAGGGCGGCCCCTAGGCCCCCCAGCACAGGAGGCCCGCACCCCCAACCACCAAAAATTGTAAAAATACAAAGTCTTACCAGCCCACATATGGCATTAGTCAATTTATTGAATTTTTTGCTTCTGAAGTTACTTGTAGAATCATCTAATAAAGAATACATGTCTGGATCTAGAAACCTTTAAACATGAGAGACTGGTGAACGAAAGAATCCTAAACACTAAATTTGTAGACTGACAATCGAAGTGAAACGAAAAAGGTTCAGCACAGCAAATGAGACCTTAATTATAGTGAATTTACTTCTCAATTTCCTTTTTAGCTCTTTTACTCAGCAGGTCCATTTTTGTCATGGTGTTAACTTGCGGGATTTCTAGAGATACCATAGCACTCAAGGCTGCCAAGATGCCAGAAATAAACTGAAAGAGGACGCAGAAAAGGGACGATGAATCAGTTGTCACCAACAGTGTCCAAACAAAAGGTTTCTGATCCCCACTGGAACAAAACCCACGTAAATAGGAGAAACGCCAAGATTGGAGCCCAAGCAAGAGTCCAGGCTTTAAGGCGCTTGCCTTGCGCCTGGTCAGCCCAGGTTCTAGCCCAGTACTCCACAGGGTTTCCAGACCACTACCTAAGTGATTCCTCAGCACAGCGCCAGTAGTGAGCCCTGAGCACTGCCAGGCTGGGCCTAACAGAAGACTGCTGGGCCAATAGCTGACCTTAGGATTCTAAAGGTGAGATGGGAAGAAGAAATGCAATCTAGAGTGACCACACTTCTCCACTCAACAATATTTTAAAGTGTTCAGGAGGTAGCTGGGGTTGAGTTCAGCACTGAGGAAACATGTAGTGACAGGGATTAAAAGCAGGTGGGCCACATCAAGGCGAGCTCCTTAAGCCCTTTACTATTTTTTTTTGAGAAGGGAAGGGTGGTAATACCTGGCAATGCACAGGCGTTACTCCTGGCTCTGCACTCAGGAATTACTCCTGGTGGTGCTTAGGTGATGCTAGGAAACGAACCCGGATTGGCTGTGTGCAAGGCCCTACCGGCTGTATTATCACTCCAGCCCCCATTTTTAAAATTTACTTATTTATTTATTTTTGGGAAGCCCTATACTATTTCTGACCCTTTAACGTTATCTTCTCTCATGCTCCCTCTCCACCTCACCTGATGGGTATTTCCTTTTGCGTTTCTGGGTCACACAATCCCCTGATATTACTAAGGGGTCACTTCGGCTTCTGCACTAAAGAGTTACTCCTGACTAGCTTTGGGAACCATATGGGTGCTGGAGACGGAACCAAACGCCCTCCCTTTCAGTTTTGGGGAATACCCAGTAGTACTCCGAGCTTTGTGGTCAAGGATCACTCCTGGAGCGGCTATGGGGGCCCAGTGACAGTACGGCAGGAATGACACCCAGGCGGGCCACATGCAAGGCAAGAGCTCTACCCACTGTACTATCTCTCAGGCATCCAGCTTTTTATTTTTCTCGTTTTGGAGCCACACACAGTGGTGCTTGGGACTTACTTCTGACACTGCCCTAGGACAACTCCTGAAGGCGACAGCTGAGAGTTGGGGACCACTAGAACTGCACAAGGGGCAAACTCAGGGCCTCGAATATGCCAGCTCTGTGCTCTGCCACTGGAGCCATCTTCTTGGCATATTAATTTAACAAACATAAGTTTCAAGTCACTCCTGGGTATAGTTCAGGAACTGTTAAGAATTATATGATTATGACTAAAGGTATTTGTACTCTGTTTGTGCCGGAGACTGAAAAATCAAGGACAAGTATAGTTAGAAAACCTTGAACGACTCCGCCATGAATTGAGAATCAAGAAGAAACACTCCACAGACTCGGAACACCCACTGTTCCAGCTGCTGAACCAGCTGTTTCATCACGGGCAGGTTTGTGTACAACTCGATCTGACCGCCAAGACCACAAGCTTATTATGAGCATGAAATACATTCAACCCGCAATTATGGGATAAAAACTTTTCCCGGAAACTGTTTTAGAGAGCTTGAGAGATAGTATAGAGGGTGGCAACTTGCCTTGCACACAGCCAACCTGGGTTCGATCCCATAGGGTCCCTTGAGCACAGCCAGGAGTAATTCCTGAGCACAGGAGCTAGGAGTAACCCCTGAGTATCATCAGATACGGCACTCATGGTCCCCCCAAAACTTTTTTAAAGGAAGTCAATCCCTACAAGTAATATATTCAATTTTGCTTGTTTTAAGCCACACGTGGGGATGCTTAAGGGTCTCTCTGAAACTTCTGGGAGGGCTCGAAGCTACTCAGAGTCCTACATGCAAGGCCTACTACATGCAAGGCCCACTACATGTAAAGCATGTCCCCAGCCCACTACATCTCTAGGCCCTATACTATATTCAATTTTTGTTTTGTTTTTTTTTTTTGGGGGGGGGGAGGAACTACCTGATAGTGCTCAGGGCTTATTCCTGATTCTGTGCTCAGGGATGACTCTTGGCAGGCTCCAGGAACCATATAGGGTAGCAGGGATCACCTTAGCTGTGTGCAAGGCAAGTGCCCTACCCACTGTAGTATCTCTCTGGGTCCCCCAATAATTTTTTTTTCATTTTGGATCACACCTGGTGATGCGCAGGGGTTACTCCTGGCTCTGCACTCACGAATTAATCCTGGCAGTGCTGGGGGGACCATATGGGATGCATGGGTTCCAGGTCAGCCGCATGCAAGGCAAACGTCCGACCCATTGTTCTATCACACCTGCTCCCCTGGCACCCCCCGGAATTTTTTAAGCAACTCTGGGTGCACATGTACGTAAAAGGGGCATACAAAGAAAATATACTGTCATCATCATCATCACTGTTCTCTTGTTGTTCATCGATTTGCTCGAGCAGGCCCAGTAACATCTCCATTGTGACAATTGATACTGTATTTGGCATATGGAATATGTCACGAGGAGCTTGCCAGGCTCTGCTGTGCAGGCGAGATACTCTTCGGTAGCCTGCCGGGCTCTCCAAGAGGGGTGGAGGAATCAAACTCCAGTCGGCCATGTTGGCTGGTTGCACGAAAATTATTAAAAATGATTTTAAAACGGGCTGCAGTGATAGCACAGCAGTAGGGCATTTGCCATGCTCACAGCTGGCCCAGCAAAACAGGTTCAACTCCTCTGCCCCTCTCGGATAGCCCAGCAAGCTACCGAGAGTATATTGCCCACATGGCAAAGACTGTTAAGCTACCTGTGACGTATTCGATATGACGAACACAGTAACAACAAGTCTCACAATGGGGAAGTTACTGGGCCTGCTCAAGCAAATCAATGAACAACTAGAGGACAGTCACAGGGATTTCATTTACTTATTTATTTATTTACTATTTTTGCATTTTGGGTCACACCCAGAGATGCTCAGGGTTTATTCCTGGCTCTGCACTCAGGAACCACTCCTGGCGGTGCTCAGGGGACCATATGGGATGCTGGGATTCGAACCTGGGTCAGGCACGTGCAAGGCAAACGCCCCACCCACTGTGCTATCGCAGTGATCCAGCCCCGACAATGACAGATTTTACTGGAGTGGGTGTCAGTAACGTTTCCATTCAGCCCTGTTGCATGCTAGCGTAGCCCAATGGCATCTGCTCATTCTAGGAATATGCATAAAGGAACTGGCAGAGGAACTCAGGTGTGCAGGACGCGGGGCTGAGATCTCCAAGCCTGCACGGTTTGGGACTGGACCTTCCAGTAGCTAGAAAGTTACACTCATCAACTGCCGTGTAACCCCAACAACTGCCAGGATCCAGTGATTACCACTCCAAGCTCCCAGGAGCGTGGGGCCACATTTGCATTTGCGGCCAGGCGACCTTATATTTATGTTTATTTATTTTTTCAGACTACCTTAAATATCCCACCCACATGGCAGAGCCTGACAAACTATCCGTGGTATATTCGATATGCCAAATCCAGTAAAAAAAAAAAAATGGATCTCATTCCCCTTACCCTGAATATGGAAGAGTCGAGAAGGATGTGGAAGGAGAGGCTGACAAAATCTCAAGGCAGAACTAGGCTGCCAAAATGAAGAAAGACAAAAATGATTGTCTGTAATTTCAATGCACGTATGCCGGCATCGGATATATCCATCGAGGACCTGATGGTACAAGCGTGAAAGATCAAGTAGAACATCATTGGTCTGACCAAAAAGAGAAGGCATCAATCACACCATGCCATTTTTGACACTGGAGAAGAACGGTTCCTTGGAACATGTGCCAAAAGAGGCATCAGTGGTGTCGGTATCCTTGTCAAGGCGAACTTGGCCATGAGCATTGATTCATTCCAATGCCTAACAACCCGAATTGCATGATTACACTTGAATAGACGTGGATCACTGCCAGCAGTTTCTATCTTTGTTGTGTATGTACCAACATCCTGTTATGGTGAAGGAGAAATGGAGAAGTTCTACATGCAGCTGGAGAAGTTCTATAAAGAAGACCACACCTTCTACAAGATCATTGTTGGTGATTTTAGTGCCAAGATAGAACCAAGAAGATCAGCCGATGAACTCCACTTTGGGACCCATGGTCTAGAATGGAATGAACAGGGTGACAGACTGTCTGAGTTCATCATGTCAACCAAGACCATCCATGGTAACTGACAATTCCAAAAGGCTGAATCTAAACGTTGGACATGGGAGTCTCCTGGTGGACGGTTCCACAGCAAAATTGACCACATCATATTCAATGGACGATTTTGCCTAACCGATGTTGCTGTTGTCGCAAAATTCCAAATGGGATCGGACCACCATCTCCCTCGTGCAAAATTCTACCTCACAGAACAGGGAGAAAAGAATGCAAAGTTTAAGAAGAGAACTCCCAGAACGACCACCAACTGGGAGCTCTTTGGCTCTGTTGTGGCAACATGGGAAGATGCCATCATTGACAACAATGATGAGGAATACGATCAAATGATTCAGCACCTCCAGGATTGTGCCAGGAATGCCAAGAGAGAGATAACCACAAAAAACCACCTTCATTTGATTACTCTTGAACTTATTCGCCAACGTGGCTTGGCACATGCCTCAGGCAACGGCAAGCAAATGTCTGAGCTGTCAAAACAGTGCAGAGAAGAGATCAAGGATGACCTCAAAGACAGGAGAACAGCAGTGCTGGTAGATGTGGCAGAAGCCAGGAAAAGCATTTGTAATGCCCGCTGTCCTTCACCAACTACAAGACCAAGATGACTGCCCTCCGACATCCTAATGGATCTATCACATCTTCCACAAGGGCAATGGAGATTATTCATGACTTCTACTCAGACCTCTTTAATAGCCACATCCACTTGCCCACATACCAAATTCTGCATGATGGATATGTCGTTCCCAATGTTCTCCCTTCCGAAATTCAACATGCCATCTCTTCGGTAAAGAAACAAAGAGCACCTCGCCCAGACAAGATCAGAC